GGTGATTTCATAGATGCAGTCGTTGTTTTTAGGTTCAGATTTTAACTCTGAAAAATACCTTTGTAATAAGACGACGCTTTTTTAATTTGGTGCGTCATGGTTTAAAAATATCTATACGTGTACCGGTTTTTTAGGTGTGTAAAGTATGTTTCTACGACGGGTTTATATTACCGTCGTCTTTTAAAAAACAACGACGGTTTTTTGATCTACCGTCGTTGTTTACTGGTCGTCTTTTGCCCTTTTTGTAGTAGTGACAGTTCCAAAGACAACTAGGGGGTACTCTCATGGTGGGTTTGAAAACCATATTCCAAAACTTATCATAAAATTCCTCTTATTCCAAAAATCCACTTACACAAATCCCTTTTTAAAACAAGATCAATCACAACATTCCTTAATTGAATTTAACCATGCATCATCTTTCAAAACTATTCTCGACTACATTTAAATATGTACCACATACTGTTGGGAACTAGTGTCCATAATTCATCGTTTTCAAGCCACCGTGTATATATATTAAATATAGACATATACTTAGATATTTAATTAATTTCTTCTTCACATCAAAATCTGATTAACAAACCATTCCCAACTCTACACAACTAAACATAATATAATATACTTAAAAAGTAAAAGTGATTGCATAGTAACTAATAAACAATTAAATAATCTTTCATAATATGATATCATTTTAAAACAACCCTCCAATTACAATTACAACTACTAATGGCCTCAGCGGAGCAGACAGAGCCCATAATCTAAATTGACTCAAAGGGCTCACGACCTCAATTTGTTATAGGCCAATTCCTATTTGAATCATTGGTTCGGAGTATCCGGGACTTCGATTCTCGATCCGCGAGTTCCTACACGATCCTAGAGGTTCCTAGATCAACATACTTGGAAATTGAGTCAATCCAACGGTCCGAACATATCAAACCCAGATATCACCTAATATGTGAAAATCCATTCGACCGTCAAACGATAACCAAATTTGAATCCGAGCATACCGTCGTGCTCAGGACAACATGGGGATCATTTTAGGACCAAATGGGCCACCCAAACTTGGGCCACACACGCGCCACATGCACTGGCAGCTAGTGGGTGGTTTGAGAAAATTTCAGCGACTGGAAAATTCTCAAAACACCCATCAATACCTATACCTACGTGATCAAGACAACTAGTGGAGCAACTTTTGTTCTCGGGCCACAGCCAAAAGGTGGCCGGAACTTACAGAAATTCAAGCCTAAAACTAGTCAAAACTGTAAGTCGTAAATTGAACCTCAAAACGTCAAAATCGATCATAACCAACCCAACCATCAGCTAGATCATGTTAAATAGGTGAAGAAACATACTTGGATCGACAAAAATGGTGGCTAGAATCATTGAAAACGACGCTAGAAAATTTTGAAGAAAACCGGAGCTTTCTCGAGCTCTCGTTGGTGCTACGCTGGTTTTTTATGAGAGAGATTGGGTGGGTCAAGTAGAGGAGGAGGAGAGGAAGATTTTGCAAATCGTTTCGTCGGAAACGGTGGCCGAATGGAGCCAGAATCAACGCTGGAAGTTCCGGCTGTAGCGACGGAGAGAGAGGGTCGTCCGTGAGAGAGAGAAGTTGCTGGGTTTTTAAAAACTGACTTTGAAATATTTACGGTTGTGCCACTGCACTTCCGTTCATCGTAACCTCTTCGGTAAAACTCCGATTTGAGCCCACTACATGTCTACGAACTTGTATCAACACGCTCTACACAACAGTGCTACTCAATTCCCCAAATTCTTCCCCAAACAAAAAGTCAATTTTTAAACCCATTAAAATATTCTCTGAGTAAAATACTTGAATAATTTAAGAATTAAATATTAATTTAGGAATGGGATATCACATCGCTGTTTTTGAAACTACCCATTGTCTGATTATTGTCCCACTAAGTTTTCTTCGGTGAGGTTTTAATGAGGCCACTCCTTTACATGCCGAACCTTTTGCTCTAATGATTGATTAATGAAATACCATTTGCTCTATATATTAAAAATAAAAAAAATAAAAAATTAGAGGGTATAATTCAAGTTGAAATTTTATAGAGAGCTCCTAAAATAGCTTTTGTGTGTTTTTAGCTAAATTTTAACTAAAAAATAGACAGTATCATTGTCACGACCGGATTCAAAAATAAGGAATATTCCCGAATCATTGTATGAGTCATACCATAGTCATAATAATAAAATCCTACAACCATGATATGATGAGAAATAGAGCCACAAATAATACAAATTTACTTAACAACACAAAATCAGAGTCACAGTAGCTCGTAATTAAATACACACTAAGATCTTTATCAAACGATTGACTACTTACAAACATTAATTACACAAATCAACAACAAAAGCCTAGCAGCTTAGTTGAAACCCGCTTCCTGAAATTTCGTCTTGAATCCTGCACAATTTATTAGAGTATGAGCATTCTAATGCCCAGTAGAGTACCGTCAAACCCCTCAAGGTCGGCTATCACAGTTAATCAAAGTGTCATGCATCAACCAACACAAGATATATAAATTATGCAATCAGACCAGATAAATAAATTTGCATATGCGGTGATGTCATGAACTCACTCCCTTCTAATCTCACTAATTCATATCTTATGGAAATAAGCATGCATGTCCCATACCATGCGTTTTACCATTGTGGCTCTGAATACCCTAAAATATGAACTAGCGCTCATTCGTCCCTTAACCCATTTTTCTTTTGTTTACGAATTTCTCAACTTTCACTTTTTATTAGAGGCCTTGCTCCCATCACCTTAATATATTTAAGCCCTGCTCCCTTCACCTTAATATATTCCACATTTTTTTTACTCAGATATATCTGTTGTGTCGATACAGCTGCACCAAAATGGATTCAGTTGCATCCTCAACTTGTGACACTCGCAAGTGCACGAGCCGTTTGGTAGTATAGCATATGTAAGTGCGAGGTCGATCCCACGAGGATTGGTGATTGAATGATCCAATTCATTTCTCCTACACAAAACAGAAATGAAAAAGAAAGGAAATAAATAAAACAAGGAAGAAAGAAAATAACTAACTCAAGCAGATAAGTTCCCAAGTTCAATTAGATTAACGGATTGATTCTAGCTAATGTATGATTAAGCCATGGTGTTTGGTCATAACCTTGTGTTCCTAATTCCCTAATTTGATCATTTGTTGTCTAACCTAAAATTAAGCATTAGGAACCCATTAAGCATAGAAGAACAATTTAAACAAC